CTTTCACCGTGGACGAAGCGGAGTCCAGCCCGGGGTCGTCACATGTGGTTGCCGCCGCTCATTCAAGCCTGCCGTGTGTGACCCTGTGTGTTTTGTTGTGAAAGCTAAACTACTTTGTTTGGCATTCCAAAAGAGGACACGACCAGAAATCAGTGGTTAAGTTGTATTTACAACACTGTTCCAGAACAGTTCAACCCAAAATTCAGATGAGTACAGCGTTTCTGCATGTTTCCTGGCTGAGTAGACTACAATGCCGGCTGTTCTGACTCACAGACTGTAAGTAAGTTTTCATATTTAAATAATTTGCCACTGATGATTCAAACGCGAGTTTTGAGCAGTGTAGAGTAATGCTTGTTGTTTGTCATTTCTCCGATCAGAAATGCAGACATGGTTTTATGTTTACGCGGCGCGATGCAACACAATGTGTAAAAAGACAGTATAAATCATTATAATCCACTGGATGTAACAAATGCCTCGTTTATAATGGGTTTTCATGTTTTTGTCTCGTCGCTCCGGCCTGGAGACGACATCACAATATAGTAAGGGGCGTAACATTTCCATCACATGCTTGAGGTATTCAGCCAATCACAATGCACTGGATAGTTGGCCAATCAGAGCACACCTCGCTTTTCAGACCGATGAGCTTTGTAAAAATCGATGCGTTTCAGAAAGGCGGGACATAGAGGAGAAACAATAATGTACAGAAGATGGAAAATAATGTTTTTTTTAACCGCATAAACACATTTCATTACACCAAATGCACAAAATATTGTTCTTTTTAGCAACATCATATGACCCCTTTAACATTATATTTTTTTATAGAAAAGTTCCTTTATTTTATAACTGGATTTTTTCAAATATATTTCTTACAGAGGGAAGAGAGGAGATATTGAACCTAAATTGCAAGGTTATAAACTTCATCCACTGCATAAAAGAAAAATGCAATCTGGATCCCCAAGGTAACTTAAAGTATGCTTCAGCTCAGGTCAAATATGGGTTAATATTGAAGATGATTTGAATTGAGTTACTTAAAAGTTTAATGTAACATTAATTTCAATGGTTAAATTATATTCTTAAATTTTTGAAGTATAAGTATGTTGTCTCTGCCTGTGCAAAACACTACACTCTTAAAAATAAAGGCGCTTAAATAGTTCTTCACAGCGATGCCATATAAGAACCATTTTGGTTCCACAAAGAACCATTGAGTCTTTAAAGAACCATCTCTTTCTTACCTTTTTTTTAAAAGAAAGAACCTTCTTTCGCCACAAATGCTCTTAAGATGTTAAAGGTTCTTTATGGAACCATTTAGACAAAAAGGTTCTTCTATGGCATCGTGAAGCACTTTTATTTTTAATTATTAAAATAATTAGTTATTTTAAAAAACACTGTGAAGTTTTATTCTTAGGGTCTGGGGGTTGTTCAGCTCCAAGCAACACTAAAAATCAGAAACACACTTGCTAAGCTACTAGCTGTTAATTTGAAGCTGAACAGACTCAGTGTAGGTGATCTAAAAAAAGAACTGTTCTCTGTAGAGACTGTGGACAGGATGGGAGAGCTGGTGAACTTGGCAGAGAGAGCACAGAGCACCAACTTCGTCAGCAGTTTGCTGAAGGAGAGAGAGAGAGAGAGCTATATTCCATTGCATGTATCATGTGAGTTTGCCCTCACCTACTTCAAGTACATCAGATACCACAACAACTATGGAAAATCAGTAAAAACAGCTTTGTATGTTCCCTTGTGCAGGAGGTGAAGGCAGTGAAGGTCCAAAGTATACTGCAGTCTTTGACTTTGGGACAAGTTACCCTGAGCTAGCAGGCAATGCTTCTATTTCTCATTTGTTCATCTATAATTTATTAAAAAGGAAGAATTTGATATCAAGAAAAACACTCCTTGCTACTTCTTTTCATCATATTGTTCTTTAAAAGGAATTTCCCACAAATCAAAAAAAAAAAATGAATTTAACATGTTCACTAGCAGAAATATACGATTTTTGTTATGGATATTACATAGTAGGTTCTCTATTTAATCTAATCTGTTTTTCTGCTAAATTTAGAGATTCTGAGAAAACTGTCAAATCCTTCAAAGGAGAGGGACAAAAGGGGTGGAGCATCTAAAAGAGGAGGAGTAAGTCAAAACCGCATCAAAGCTGCTGTCAACTTTAAGAAAGCCATCACAACACCTCGGAGCTGAAGAGTCCATGGACAGGACCCTTTTCTATTGTAACATGACAATGCCTCTGTGTATAAGGCAAGGTTCAAAAAGAAATGATTGATCAAGTCAGTGTGGAAGAACTTGACATGGTCTGCAGAAAGCCAAGTCCTAATCCCAGTTGAGCATCTCTGGTGTGACTTTATATGCAGACCTTGAGCCAAAAACTCATCACTAAACACCAATGGCTTGTACATATGGGTACAGTCATTTTAGACACTTCCAAAACTGTTGCAACAGAGATGGAAATACAAATTTTAAATACATGAATTATGTTTTCCATCTTACGTTGCCACCGTTTTGGAAGTGCCTTTTTCTGCTCTAAAGAAGGGGGTGTCCCAATACTTTTGTCCATATAGTTTATGTACAAGTCATTGTTTGGTGATGAGTTTTTGGCTCAAGGTCAGCATTTAAAGTCACACCAGAGGTGTTCAGCTGGGATTAAGACTTGGCTTTATCATTCTTTATCATTGGCTGAAATCAATCATTTCTTTTTGAATCTTGCCTAATACACAGAGGCATTGTCGTGTTAGAATAGAAAAGGGTCCAGTCCAAACTGTTGCTATAAAATTAGAAGCACACAATTCCCTAGAATATCATTATATGCTTAAATATTAAGATTGGTACTCATGGAAATTACTAAAGAAGTCAAGCCTGTTCATTAGAAGGGGGTGTCCCAATACTTTTGGCAATATAGTGTATAAACTATAGTTCAGACTGTTCACAATATCACAGACTTCCTTGTAAAATACCTGTTGCAAAACCCCTAAACACACACACCTGTTGCTGAATTGCTTGGCAACTGTAAACAGCCTAAAGTTATAGCTAATGGACTATGTTACTTGCCTGGAGAAATGTTTCTATTATTAAACTGGTATAATCATTCATTTTTATTAATAAAGGTAGTTATTTATTTAGCATTGGAGTCTTTTATCATATTTCCATTGCTGCTGCTCTAAAAGCAATTATTAGACTCGGATCTGTGAAATACCTGATTGTGATTGGTTAATGGCAGCATTCTGTGGTTCATTAGAAGGGGGTGTCCCAATACTTTTGGCAATATAGTGTATATTAAAATGTGACACTGTTTCACAATATCACAGACTTTACTGTATCAAATAAATGCATTTGTTAAAATAAATCTTACTGACCCCAAATTTGATATATATTAGATGTAACATTTAGATGTAGCCTAACGTAATGCGATATATATATATATATATATTCATACAACAGTTCGTTCTGGTTCTCAAATCTGATTGGTTGAGAACCGTGAGATATCGTACTGGTATCGCTACAGGAATGCCCTTTCACAATTTTGTATCACTCCGCTTGTTCTAGCCGGGTCTATGTTTTTTTTTTTTGACGATTCATTCAGCTAATCATAGAGTAGTTAATATAAGAAGAAACGTCTAGCTTCGCGGTCTCTCTCTCTCTCATTTGGATACACATCTTGCCGCATTGTTTCTCTCTTATAACCTCATTATTTCTTACTAATAACCTAACTGAAGCAGCACATGCCCTTGATACGAATTCTAAAAGTGACTTATGTTTAACTGTCAACTTGAGCTTTGAATCCGTGGCGGAAGGAAGTAGTTCCGCACAAAAGAGGGTTTTATTAGGCACTCTGTTGTTTCTTGTTTAATTACACATGTTTCGTCGAACTGTTGTATATATCAATATGCAATATCACTCTCGTACTCGAGTGATACCGGCTCTATATCAGCGGCTGTGATTGCCTCCGGGCTCCGGGACAAGGCTGCTGATATAGAGCCGGTATCGCTCTCGTACTCGAGTGATATTGCGTATATAATTTGTTCATTGTTTAATTAAATATAAAGAGATTAGGTTAATTTGAATGACTGTGTAAGAAAATGACTGTTTAAAAAAAAACAAAAAAAACTTTATGGTCACTATATCTTTTTCAGCATTCCTACGTTTAAAAAGAAATGCCTTCAGCTAAAAAGCCTACAGGTCATACATTTGGTCTGAAAACTAAAATTAAAAAAATTCAAAAGGCATTAATGTTTGCCTACAAAACCACCACTGGCTCTGCACCCCTTTACCTAAATTCATTACTTCAGACTTATGTGCCCTCTAGAAGCTTGCGTTCTGCAAGTGAACGATGCATTATTGTGCCATCCCAAAGAGACACAAAATCACTTTCACAGACTTTTACATTAACTGTTCCCTGCTGGTGGAATGACCTGCCCAACTCGATCCGAGCAGCTGAGTCCTTAGCCATCTTCAAGAAACGACTAAAAACACATCTGTTCCACCTTTATTTGACCCTCTAAATTAGCACTCTCTATTCTAATTCTATTCTTTATATATAAAAAAACTTGCCCCTTTTAGACTTGCACTCTATTTGTTTACTAACTGCTTGTTTTCTTTAAAAAAACTTGCTTCTCTAATCTTTTTGTATTCTATTTAATTGTTTTCTTTTTATTTATTATACAATTAACAAAAGCAAAAAAGGCCTCTAACACTAGCTTGCTCTATTCTTTTTCTATTCTAGCTGTTTTCTTTTTATTTATTATGATTTAAATAAAGCCTTGCTACGTGTACTGCATTAAGCTAACTGAGACTTGTCATAGCACTTGCATATCATTGCTCTTTTGTTGATTTTGATTGCTTCCATTGTCCTCATTTGTTAGTCGCTTTGGATGAAAGAGTCTGCTAAATGTCTAAATGTAAATGTAAAACTGTTTTACTTGGTTTAACCTGACTTGGTAATACACGAAGGCCAACAACAAATCATGTAGGGATCACTTGGACCCTCTGTCTTGAACAGATTGCATAAGAGCTGGAAAGGTAAAGCTGGACATGTCCTAGTTAAATAGTAATGTGAATTCACTCTGTCTGCGAACTGAGCACGAGGACGACAGCTCAAAATGTCTGGGAAAGACTTTGAATCGCTAGAGAAGGTTCTGGAGACATGTGTACCTGAGGCTGAACTCAGAGAAGTCAGAAGACTGCTGTTCGGAAAACAACTTACGTAAGTCACAAGTGTTCACTAGACGAAGACTACAAAGCAGAGCTCAGTTATGACTGGAGGGAGCTGCAGCGCACACACAGATGACGGCTGACTTTAATTTGATATGAAATTGCTGTACAGTGAAACTAGGTAAATCTGAAAGAATTAAGGAGATTAACAGGTTCAAGCGGTTAGCACTCGTCCAAATGTAAGAGAGCTCTTATAGAAGTTTATTTTCGTAACTACATCTAGGTTGAAACTGAGTAAATGATTTATGGTGGACTTTGGCCACAAAGGGGTCTCTGGGAATGTCGTTGATGTTAACGATGTGAGTTTGACAAAATCTGACATGCTCTAACTTTATATGACGATATAATTCCCATAGATGTCCCATGAATAGAAACAAGTAACCTTTTCCTTGGTTTCATTTTCGATTTTTTTTTTCTTCAAAAACTAAATATTATTTACTAACGCGAACTTCTTGGCTACATGACAATAGCCAAAGAGTTTGTCTGTTCAAGCAAATAAATTATTTACCCCCGCATCGAAATTGTAAAACCTTTTGGTTTTGCTAACTTGCTAAATGTTTTGCCTCAGATATACTTAGTAAAAACACTTTGAAATAGACAGAGAAATACACTTTAAAATCAACACTTATGAAAATCATGGTTTTACTACAAAAAACATACTTAAACCATGGTAACCACAAATAAACTACACTAACCATAGTTTAACCATGGCCCTGTTGAAAAACCAGCATATGCTGGTTAGGTATGTTTTGATGCTGGGATGCTGGTTTAAGCTGGTCCTTTGCTGGTTTAAGCTGGTCCTTTGCTGGTTTATGCTGGTCCTTTTGCTGGTTTATGCTGGTCATGTGCTGGCAAAGGACCAACATTAACCAGCAAATGGACCAGTATAAACCAGCAAAGGACCATCTTAAACCAGCATCCCAGCGTCAAAACATACCTAACCAGCATATGCTGTTTTTTTCAATAGGGTTGCTACACTAATAGTTTAACCATGGTATTTGTAATACAATTGTGGTTATTCGAATGTTAATCAATATGCCAAAAAATCATGGTTATTACACTTTTACTATAATAAAACCATGGTTAATTTCCGCAAGGGTGCATAGCACTGCTGGTAATGGTTTGGTTGTTCTCTGTACATTCTTCATACACTGCTCCATTGTTTTCATACGACCTTAACTGAAAAACAAATGTATCCCAGACCATTACAATCATCCCTGCTCTTCCCTATTTGTCAAGTCAAGTCAAGTCACCTTTATTTATATAGCGCTTTTAACAATACAGATTGTGTCAAAGCAGCTTTACAGTATTAAATAGGAAAATAGTGTGTCAATAATGCAAAAGGACAATAGTAAACACTAAATTTTCAGTTAAACGCAGTTCATCATGAATTCAGTGATGTCATCATCCAGCTCAGTTCAGTTTAAATAGTATCTGTGCGATCAAGTCGACGATATCGCTGGAAAATAAGTTTCCCCAACTAAGCAAGCCAGAGGCGACAGCAGCAAGGAACCAAAACTCCATCGGTGACAGAATGGAGAAAAAAACCTTGGTCGGGGGGCCAGTTCTCCTCTGGCCAGACCAACCAGCAGGTTGTTCTATGCTGCAGATTGGAAATGGATCTATAATCAATTTGTTTGACTAAAGAAGTTATTGAGTGTTTGACATTTAAAATTGTAATGCCTTTCAGGAAGCTGAACCTTCCCCAGAGTGCATTAGATGCAGCAGAGGAGCAAGATTTTGATCTGAAGGGTTATGTGTTTGAGGCTTCTCCAGAGCAGCTCAGACCACCCAGAACTGTCCGCGTGGGACTCATTCAGAACAAGATAGTCCTACCCACTGATGCTCCTGTACTTGAACAGGTGAGAGAACACAGTGCATATAAGGGCCAGCTAGCATATTTTGGCTCTGATAGGCCCATATGTACATATGCTAAAACAAATTCCATATATGTATTTTGTACATTTGAGTTCATCCCACTGTTGGCTCAGTATTCTCATTTTGCTTTCACAGATCACAGCTCTGCACAAGCGAGTGGGGGAGATGGTGGAGGTGGCAGCCATGTGTGGGGTCAATATCGTGTGCTTCCAGGAAGCCTGGAGTGAGTACACAAAAACACACAAACACATGCATGCATCTAACTCTCTTTCCACTGAATTCATCACTCTCCAAATGTAGCAGGAATATATACAGCTCTCGGGTGTCATAAGAAGTTTATGGCATCTATTTTATTAAATACATGCATATTATTATGTTTTTTTTATTGGCCAACCTTGTTGCGGGGTGTTTTAATTAATCAGACCACACTTTTGAACAATATTAACAAGCAAAACGTTTCAAGGTATTTTTATATTACGTAATTGTTCACCAAAATGTAATTATTTATTTATTTATTTTCACAACATTCCTAGTTGACAAAAAAATTACTGACTTTATTGAACATCCTGTTAGGTTTGAAATTATATGAATGTATTCAGTTCAAAATGTGTGTGTGTGTGTGTATATACGAACATTAAATTATTTATAAATGGTATTATATTAATTATATATTATTAGTTATATATTAGTGCTGTCAAATTGATTAATCGTGATTAATCTCATCCAAGATAAAAGTTTGTGTTTACATAATATATGTGTGTGTGCTGTGTATATTTATATGTATATAATGCACACATATACATACATGTATATATTTAAGAGGAATATGTAATATATTTATATATGATATAAATCATATATAAATATGAATATATATACATGTACATATTTCATAAATATATACATATATGTGTGTGTATTTATATATACATATATATATATATATATATATATAAATATACACAGCACACATACATATATTATGTAAACACAAACTTTTTTCTTGGATGCGATTAATCAATTATATAATACATAATATATGTAATACATAACCATTTCTGAGCAATTTAATGTTTAATCTTAAGTAATTATTGATTACTAATCTTTCAGTTTTTTACAGTTCACTTCAAGAGTCCTGTGGTGTAATTAGTCTATCAATCAATATAATATGAATAAAATCTACATGCATCATATTTCTAAATTAATTTAAAGCAATTTTTAAAATAATTTTAGATGGAGAATAGCATGTCACACTGTTTAACACATGATCAACTATCTATATTTAGTCACAAATGTTTTTGTTTTTTATTCCACGGCTCTATATATCCATTTCCTGTTGTCCTCTAAGCAATTACTGAGCTTATTTATGAGCATATGGATCAGAAGACTTCTTGGCCTACAGTGATGTAACATGCCCGTGAAGACATCAGCAGAATCTGGTTTACATCAGCAGAGCACAGCAGGACAGTAGTGACGAAGTTACAGCTGCGCTCGCAGTTTGTCTGTTTGTGTTGGCTGTGGCATGCTGTAGGGATGCAAGCTGATGAAAGGGAGTCTCATGCTACAATTATAAACTCTCCAGGCATCCCAAAGGTCATTCCTTCCCTCTGGGTCTCAACAGGTCTCTTTGCCCAGGCTTCAACCCCCTTAACCACCACCCCACGTAAACCTTTGACCCCTGAGCTCTGACTTCCTGTGTTTCCATGCAAATCTACGAAGCATGTTTGCTTTGATAGTATTCATTTAAAAATGCCATGTAAACAAATAACATTTCGTCCTGCTCTAAACAAAACAACAACTGCTGATGAAAAATAAGACCATAAACTTATCCACTATACTCCTCATCCTCACTCTCAGCAAGCAAAACAACGTTTTAGTGGACACCAAGGAGAGTCAATCTCGATAGTTTGAACTCTCATAAATAAAAATCAGTTCTGGTAATAAATTCTTTCAGGGAACGCATTATTTTTTCCCTGTGTTCTCCATCCATAGCAATGCCTTTTGCATTTTGCACACGAGAGAGGGAGCCCTGGACAGAGTTTGCCGAATCGGCCGAGAATGGGCTCACCACACGCTTTTGTATTCAGGTAAGAGTTAAATAAATGGATGTCTTCCTGTAAAAGTTAGGATCATCCTTTTCTATAAAGCATCACCTCAGTCTTTAGTCAAATATTTAACCTCAGTCCACTAATTGATTATTTCTGCAGTCATTACTTCTAATGCTGATACCACATGTGCTTGATTTTCATTTTGTAGCTGGCCAAAAAATACAACATGGTGGTGGTGTCTCCTATTTTGGAGAGAGATGAGATCCACGGTGGAACATTGTGGAACACTGCAGTGGTGGTGTCCAATAATGGCAATGTTCTGGGCAAATCACGGAAGAATCACATTCCCCGTGTGGGAGACTTCAACGAGGTCGGTGTCACCCTCTGCATAACAGTCAAACAACTGTCAGTGTGAAAGAACACAGCTACAGTCACACTCTATATTTAGAATAATAGTGTCATCACTTGTTTACGTTAAGCTAAGATGAGTTAATTAAGCTGTAAATTAAATTTTGATATAGTGCAGTCCAAAAGTTTAAGACAGTGAAAATGCTTTTGCATTTGTAGAATAAAACAAACAAACATGCAAATTAGAATTAGGTAGTACTGTATTAAAATATACATTTGCGGTCAACCGTTTTGAATAATGAGAAAAAAAAAAAAAAAATGTATGTGTTTTTGAAACATGCTTACCAAGGCTGCATTTATATGATTAAAATACAGTAAAACGGTAATATTGTGTTTATTCCTGTTATGGCAACACTGAATTTTCACCAGCCATTACTTCAGTCTTTAGTGTCACATGATTTTTCAGAAATCATTTTAATATGCTGATTTTGAGCTCCGTTTGTATCTGTTATTGTTCGTACTCAAATATTAACAATGGTTTGTATTATTATCAGTATTGAAAACAATTTTTGCTGCTTAATATTTTTTTTGTGGAAAGCATGATACATTTTATATAATGAATATAAAGTTCAAAAGAACAGCATTTATCTGAAATCTTTTGCAACATTATAATTGTCACTTATACAGTCACTTTTGATCAATTTAATATGCCCTTTGCTAAATTAAAAATATTGCCCCAAATGTTTGAATGAAGCAACAACAGTGATAGTAAATTAATAAGACATGATTCTTGAGCAGCAAATCAGCATATTGAATGCTTTCTGAGATATCATGTGACACTGAAGACTGGAGTAATGATTTTAAAATATTTTCAATAGAAAAAAAATAATATTTCACTATATTACTGTTTTATTTTTGATCAAATAAATCCAGCCTTAGTGAGCACAAGATTTTTTTTTTTCAAAAACATTACAATAGGGTAGCCATATGTGCCATTTATATGGGTCACGTCCTGGCCATGATTTTTATATTGCTAAAACATCCAAAGTAGTTTGACCAATAACATGCAGGTATTGTACATAATCGATCAATCGTGGCGTGTCGTGCGTGAGAAGGTGAGAACGGTCAAACCGATGCAAATACGCGCACATGTTTGTTCATTCATTCGACTTGAAATGCGCACCGATCGTTGTATGATACCAAAGTACCGCGAGAGCAATTTGAAAGCATAAGGAGCCGTCTGCTCTGCTCTCTATAGCTCTCGTGAAATAATGTCATACAATGATCGATCTGCACAGTGCTAACAGCCAAAACCTGGATATTTTGGGCAATATAGAAATCCTGGCAAGGGTGCGTCCCGTAAAAAGGCCGGTATGGTCACCATACATTACAAAAATCTTATTTTAAAAAGAATTCCAAACTTTGGACCTCTAGTGTATTATACAAAAATGACCATGAACAAAAGTTGTAACAATGTATTATGTTTTTCAGAATCGTAAAACTTTATTTTCAGGTTTAAGTGACAAAAAAAATCCCCACATTTTTGAACCCCTCTGTACACAGTTATCAGTATTTTGTGCCACCACATGGGCATTTCTGTATTTTATTGGATTAACTGCTGTTCAATGCAACCACTATAGAAATTCTTGTTATCAGAGATTTGTTCCAGCATGTTTGGTGTCATTTTTCAAAAATTTTCAGGTTAAACGAGTTTGTTTGTGTGTGTGTGTGTGTGTGTGTGTGTGTATATGTTTATGTGGTTTATGAGGACACAAATTTGTATAATGACATGGGTATGACAGAGGTATTACAACGAGAAGGTGATTTATGAGGACATTTTCAGTGTCCCGTAATTCAAAAGGCTTATAAATCATTCAGAATGAGTTTTTTGAAAATCTAAAAATGCACAAAGTTTCTTGTAAGGGGTAGGTTTAGGGGTAGAGTTGGTGTAGGGCAATAGAAAATACGGTTTAAAACCAGTATAAAAACCATTACGCCTATGGAGAGTCCTCATAAACCATAAAAACCAACATGTG